TAGCTCAAATGTTCCAGAACTCAGATTTCCAGAAAATCTTTGAAATTGTGGTACTACTAATGGTGGTCTATAACCTATGCTTTAAATCCTCTTCTGTATCAAATCTGTGATCCTGGCAATTACAGACCAGAAAGTCTAACTTCAGAATTATGCAAACTGGGTGTGAACATAATTTGTTGGGGAAAAGGCAACACAGTTTCTGGAAAGGGAAATCATGCCTCGTTATTCTATTAGAATTCTTTGAGAGGGTTAGCAAGCATGTGGACTGGGGAAATCCTATGGATATAGTGCACTTAGATTTTCTGAAATCTAACAAGGTCCCTCACCAAAAGCTCTTAAGCAAAGTGAGTTGTCATGGGATAAGAAGGAAGGTCCTCTCATGGACCGAGACAGATGATGCAGACAGATGAGAACACCTTGCCTGAGAACAGCCACAGAGGCAGGGGACAGGGCAGACTTTACCTCCTGGACAAGGTTCCCTGTAAGCTGTGCGGCTGCCCAGCTATTTAATGAGTCCCACCCAGAGGATCAGAGATGAGATACAATTCGGGAAAGCAATCAAATACAGACACACATTGCAATGTTCTTGGATCAATTTTGAACCAATGATGAAATAAACCACTGGCTTGCTGAATATTTGGTTGCTTCCAAAATACTGGATGGTCCTCTGTCCTTTGGTTAGAATGCTCCCCTTAGTAGACACCCATAGTCCGGAGATCATAGCAGAGAAGAGGCCAAATGGTCTTGTTTCACCTTTTATAGCTTTATGTCATGTGGATTTCAGGGTTCCCTCTTTTTTTCCATCCATGTGTGGAATGCATGTTGTGTATGCACTGATGCATGTGCTCTTGTGCACTGCCAGTAGAAACAGAAACCATAGGTTTAATATTGATTTTTTTAAAAGGTACCATATGGATAATTACACCAGTCAGGACCGTCTGAGCCCTGGCTGTGGGCTTTGGTATCAAACCTGCAAGTCCTCACTAGAGCTCACCTTCTGAGAAGTTTCAGAGGGGTAGCCGTGTTAGTCTGTAACTGAAAAAAATTAAAAAACAAAGAATGGTCCTGCAGCACCTAAGAGGCTAGCAGGAAATGTAGATGATGTCAATCTGAAATAGTGTGTTGTGCCCACGAAAGCTCATGATACCATCTACATTTTTGTTGGTCTCTGGGGTGCTGTGGGACTATTCATTGTTTGTTAAGTTTCTTCTGAGCAGTGTGTTCCTGTCATGCCCTGGGATGGGAGGCATGGAACAGGTCCCGAAGGAGTCTTAGTTGCACTCTAGAGAGTGCAGCAGAGCACTCAGCTCCCCAAGGGAATACAGTGGGCTATTCCGGAGGCAGGGGGATGCACCTTTATGACAGGTAAGTGTCATGGGATTTTGTACCACACACAGTCCAGTCTCTGCAAGGGGGAAGGAGGGAGGAGCCTCTCTAGGTGAGTGACTCAGATCTTGACTCTGCAAGTAATAATGGCACAGACCTTAATGAGCAAGATCAGCACTTGGTTAATTGCTCCCCAAGCAAGATTTCTAGCCTCCAAATCACAGGGACACTTAGCTCAAGAAGACCAAGGACAGAGAAGGCCCATTGCTCAGTGAAGAGAGAGAAATAACAACAGGAAACTTGCAAATGGCAGAGGTGCTTCATGACTTCTTTGTTTCGGTTTTCACCAAGAAGTCTAATAATGAAGGGAAGACTAATATAGTGAATGCTAATGGACATGGGGTAGGTTTAAAAGTTAAAATAAAAAAAGAACAAGTTAAAAATTACTTAGAAAAGTTAGATGCCTTCAAGTCACCAGGGTCTGATGAAATGCATCCTAGAATTCGCAAGGAGCTGATAAAGGAGGTATCTGAGCCTTCAGCTATCATCTTTGAAAAATCATGGAAGTTGGAAGAGATTCCAGAAGACTGGAAAAGAGCAAATATAGTGCCCATCTATAAAAATAGAAATAAGAACAACCCAGGAAACTACAGACCAGCCAGTTTAACTTCTGTGCCAGGGAAGATAATGGAGCAAGTAATTATAGAATTCATCTGCAAACATCTGGAAAATAATAAGGTGATAGGTAACAGCCTGCATGGATTTGTAAAGAACAAATCTGACAGCTCTCTCTGACAGGATAACAAGATTTGTGGATAAGGAAAAAGCAGTGGATGTGGTATACCTAGACGTTAGTAAGGTACTTGATATGGTCTTGCATGACCTTATCATCAATAAACTAGGGAAATACAACTTAGATGGGGCTATATAAGCTGGGTGCATAACTGGCTGGATAACCTCTCTCAGAGATTAGTTATTAGCAGTTCACAGTTATGCCTGAAGGGCATAACAAGTGGAGTTCCGCAGGGGTCTGTTTTGTTCAATATCTTCATCACCCTTTGTCAGGATGGTTAAATCCTGGAATAAATTGCCTAGGGAGGTTATGGAATCTCCATCACTGGAGATATTTAAGAGCAGGTTGGATACACATCTGTCAGGGATGATTTAGATGGTGCTTGGTCCTGCTGTAAGGGCAGGGGACTGGACTTGATGATCTCTCAAGGTCCCTTCCAGTTATAGTATTCTATGGATTGATTACTGGTTAAGACAGGTAACAAAGGGTAAATCTAAATGGTCAGTTTTCAGAATGGAGAGAGGTAATTAGTGGTATCCCATAATGGTCTGTGCTGGAATCAGTCCTGTTCAACATATTCATAAATGGTCTTGAGAATGGGGTAAACACTGAAGTGGCAAAATTTGCAAATGATATTAAACTGCTCAAGATCGTTAAGACCAAAGCAGACTGTGCTTCGGATGCAGATGCTCTCTGGGGCAGAGAAGGAACAGAAGAGATGGTTGGATGTGCATGCGGAGTAGCAGCACTGCGCAGGCGGTCTGCTCCATGTGACCAGCCTACCAAGCGCACTGCGACCTAAAATCTCTGACTAGAGGCGCAGTGGCACCCCAAACACCTAAGGTGGAGCACCTACAGGGACACTCCTCAAAGAAGAACAATTTCTTCACACAACACACAACTTGTAGAACCACTTGCCAAACCACCTGCACTATTTGTAGAACCACTTGCCAAATGGACTTGTTTCACCAGCCTTTTATAGCTTTATGTCATGTGGATGTCAGGGTTCCCTCTTTTTTTCCACCCATGTGTGGAATGCATGTTGTGTATGCACTGATGCATGTGCTCTTGTGCACCACCAGTAGAAACAAAAACCATAGGTTTAATATTGATTTTTTTAAAACTGTGAAGACTAGGACTTTAATAGAGTTCAAAAAAAATTGATAAATTCATGGAGGATAGGTCCATCAATGGCTATTAGCCAGATTGGGAACAAATGGGGTCCGGAGCCTTTGGTCTGACCTAATATGGCTGTTCATATGTTCCCTATAGAATGAGCATTTCAACGCTATGTGTAATAAAAATGAAATGCTGTTTTGCATGCATTTTGGAAGTCTCAAATATGCTATGGATTCCCCAGAATTCAGTGCAGTTGTATTCTCTCTAAAATATTTTAAATTTATATTAGCATAGATCAGAATACGGGATTAATATAAATATATGAAACAGAATTGCTTTAATATCACTAATTATTTGCTGGTTTGAACTACAGTAAGTAGTGGGTTTTCTGTACATTGAAGTCTTTAAAGCAAGATTTTAGGATATAAATAACTCAGGCAGAAGTTATGGGCATATTGCAGAAGGGAGTAAGAGAGGATTTCTAGCCTATAATGTGCAGAGAGAGAGGTCAGCCTAGATCAGTGTTTCTCAAAGTGGCCCAGAAAAATCACTTTGAGAAACCTGTTAACTGACTGCACCGGTTTTGTTTACTTATTAGTGCCGCAGACACGGAGCCTCACAGCTCCCATTAGCTCAATTTCACCGTTTGCAGCCAAGGAGAGCTGCAGGAAGCAGTGGCCTGGCCCGCACCACTTCCCGCAGCTCCCCCTTGGCTGCAAACAGTGAAATAGGAGCCAATAGGAGCTGTGAGGCTCTGTGATTGTGGTGCCGGTAAGTAAACAAACCGGCGCGGCCAATTAACAGGTTTCTCAAAGTGCTTTTGCGGATCACTTTGGAAAACAATGGCCTAAGATAATCATGATGGTGCCTTCTGGCCATAAAGTCTGTGTGTATTTGGTAAGGCTATAAAAGTGCAGGTGTTGCTCTGTTGTTTGGAAGACCAATCACTCACCATGGAACAAACTCCACACCAATACCTGCTTTAATTTTACACCACACTTCAGCTGTTCATTGAGTATGTCTACACTGCTGCTGAGTAGTGTGATTCCCAGTGCAAGCAGATAGATAATGTGTCACATGACAACTAGGATCATATAATTGAAAAGCTATGTAAATGATCTAGAGATTTCTATATGTAAGCCTCAATTACAGAAAGACTGCCAACTGCTGAAATGTATCAAAGCCACCTTGGCTGAATCTACTCTAGCATTTTTCTAACCAGTGATGCTCCTCCAATGGCAGCGCTAGCACAGAGAGTTTCAATAACTGAAAGCTATTGTCAGGTCAAATTTAGCCCAAAATTTATGTTCTTAAAAAAAAAAAAATGTTTTGCAAAATCTAAACCCAATACAAGTACAAATGTGATTTTTAAAAAAAAAATCCAATGTTTATTAAAATCCCCTTTTTAAAAAAAATCCAATGTTTATTAAAATCCCCTAATTTTCTTTGAATTTATGCATTTAAACCTTACAAAGTCTATAATGGACTAACTGGAAACTGATAAAAATATGAAAAAAGAAACCAAACATAAGACTTAAATCTAAAGTCACACTTTTTTTTTGAAGTGTGCTGATAGTAAAATAGATGTCATTTAAATATATTTAACCTGATAGCTTTCCTTTACAGTGACTACATGAGTCACTTAAATATATTTAACCTGATAGCTTTCCTTTACAGTGACTAGGACTAAAAATATACAGCAATTTGTCACACCAGAAATAGGAAGTGGCAACAAGAGATACTGTCCAACGCTAAATATTACCTTGATCTTTGAGTTTCTAAAATTTTGACAAGCCCATTTATTGACCTGAGAAAGAGTAGGAAAAAAGGAGAAATTACATGTGAATAAAACGGAATTTCATAATGTAATAAACTAAGCAGAGAAATAAGAACCAGTAACTCCTGAGTAATAATCCATCTAACTCTTGTCACTAAATTGTTGTACAACCCCATAGCAATCTCCATTTGTATTTCTCTTTCATCTTGCCTGGATATTCGCTAGCCATGACAACAGAGAACTAGTCTTACAGAGACAGATTTTATTCAGGCAAAATCTCCCCCGCCCCATGTTGCTGGGCCTAAGCAATTTTACTTTTATTTAGGACCTTTTGTTAGTTAATTTGTGAAATGGGAAAAGACTTTTTAGACTCAGTGTTTGGTGGGATTTTTTTTGTTTGTTCCTTTCACTGCAAGTTAGGTACTGTGGTGGCAGCAGAAGACATTTTTGCCTTCACCTCTAGCCACTAATTTAGTCCAGGATTTTTGTTCATTTACCCACAAATGATAATTATTCCACATCCTCCTTACCTCCCCAAGGCAATTAATAGCTATTAATTACTGTAAAGGTTTCTTTAGAAATATTTAAGTATTTGTACAAAAACTGATATAATAAATGTTAAAAGGGGGTTATACAGTTACTGGATAAGGTTGGTGAACAGCAATCACCATATGCAAAATATCAACATTTGTGGAAATACATAAATGTACTGGAACATTATTTAATTGCTCTCTCTTCTGTGAGCAAATTTGTTTCCTGGCAATCATTTATGTCATGGTAATCATGCAATCTCCAACCTCTGTGGCCGCCATAAGAAGTAAAAGTTTATATATAAACAAAAAACTGTCAGCCAATATAACATTCATGCTATCAGTTTCATACCTGACAGCTGTTCTTAATTTTTTCAGTTCTTCTTGTAAAATCAAATCTGTTTTATTGATGATTATTAGATCAGCTAGTGCAATCTGCCTGCAGAGGAACACAAAATAAAAGAGAAAACTGAAATGTATTCCACAATGCAAAAATACCATTTTCCATACCCTAACAAACAAACAAACAAACACTGCAAGCAAGAGTGCATTGAATTAGGAGCCAAGTCTAGATATCAGTAGGACTATGTAAAAACATTATGATATACAGGTTGTACCTCCCTATTCTGGCACCCTCAGACCCTGACCAGTCCCAAACCAGGAAATGTCAATGCCAGCCTCTCTACTGCTGCCAGCTGCAGGACTCCACTCTAGCATCAGCAGAGGGGCCAAAACTGAGTGGGTACTAGTGGTGGAGAGAGTACTTGGGGGGAAAAGGCAGGGTTGCTGTGGAGCCCCCAAGACTGGGGCCAGGAGTACAGCCCAGTGGAATCACCCGAGCTCCACAGCTGTCAGGCTGCTCCCAGGCCTCACTGCCAGCCAGGGGGCCGTGCTCCTAGCCCCACACTGTGGGGCTCCTCAGCTACCCTGCCTCTTCCCCCAAGCATCCCCCTTATCCATATTCCTCCCCTCCTTCCCTGAGCTATTTGTGGCACTCTGGAAGTTCTGGGAGGGCAGTAGAGGAGTTGCTGAGTGTGGGGCCCAGCTTCTTCCTGAGTATTCCAGCTCAGAAGCACCCACAGGGATGCTGGACCATAGATATTGCCGAACAATGGAAGTCTGGACTACAGAGATCCAACTTGTACTTCATTGTTGGAGGGCTCGAGCGTGTTCCACTACTAAAAATGTTTCTTGTGACTACTTTGTAAAATTATTGCATTAAAACAATTTATTTTAAAATTACAGTGTTATAGACAAAGCTTTTTTTCATTAACACTATATTTATAAATTCGGTATGCATCTTACTCTTCATAAAATATGAATGCGGTAGCATTTGCTTTTTGTATTTCCCACTAAAGGTATCACCAGTAAAGTCAGATCACCAGCCTTTTGATCTTCAGTTTGTCCAACCCATGCAAAGCAGGTTGAGACAACATGGTGAATAAACTACCAGTTGCCTGTCTACACTAGTGATCCCACTGTTAACACCACTCCTGGAGCTGCGCTGGTATGATACAAGAAAAATGCACCAGCAGAGAAGGTTAGGCAGAGTAATGCTTGCTCCAATGCAAAGGATTAATTATATTGAGATCTTTTAGAATGCCTATCCCTGAGTACTAGGAATCTGTGAACCACTTAGTCCCTCTTGCAGTCTGAATTCAAGATATTAAGCAAGACTAAAAAAACCCGTAAAGCTTTTTTTAAAGTAAACCTATTGATACATATTCTTCTCTATTATTTTAATTAAAAAATGTATAGTATCTACTTTTCAGTTTACTTGGGGCATCTGACAAAACTTTGTACATAGAGGAGGAAGAGAAAAAAAGATAGGATAGTAATATCCAGATGCTTGAAGTTCAGGTGAAATACCCAAAACTACTTTTGTGAGATGGGCAGAAGGAGTTGTTTGGATTTTTTAAACAAAATGACTAGCTCTTATGCTGTATGATGTTTTTGTAGCCATGCTGGCTCTAATATCCTGGGATGACAGGGTGAGTGAGGTATATCTTTCATTGGACCAACTTCTGATGATGAGAGATAAGCTTTTGAGCTTACATGGAACTCTTCTTCCAGATGTGGGAAACACTGTGTGTTACCTCAAAAGCCTGTGTCTCTCACTATCAGATGGTTGTCCAATAAAAGATATTATGTCACCCACCTTGTCTCTAGATCTTAAGCTGACAATGAGGTACACAAATGATCTTGCACTGGCCCAGTGTACTGGGATGATATTCATTTCCTATGATTATTTACATACTGAGGTTGCTTTTATCAATTTTACATTAATAGTTTTTATGCTGATACCTAGTTGCTTCATTGACAAGGCCATCAGGTTTTTCCTCTGTCAAATGCTGAACAAAGAATAAAAACAATTATTACATCAAGAGTAGTCATGTAACAAACATCCATTTACACATACATCAAATCAAGATAACCATCAGTTTTAGATACATTGTTGAAAAAATTAAGGAGGATGATATCTGGAGTATAGTATGCCCCAACTCATTTTTATTATTTATATAAACAAAATGATGATAAACAGACATCCCCCCCTTTCTGGAAGTTCAAATCTGTTTTTTTTACCAACTTTTTTTTGTTTATTATCGTAAGATTCTATAGAGTGCTGAGCTGCTGACAGTTTTTGTTTAAACATTAAGGTTTATTGTGGGGTAAAAAAGCATTAGAATCCATGTTTTGTGTTAGTTTACCAAGAAAAATGAGGTGTTATAAGTTTAAAAACTAAATAAAAAGTAATAATGTATATTTCAAACAAACGATAAGTTAATTATCTAGGTATCTCCCAGGTGTAGAAGGGTTATTAAAACAGTTGTTGGGATTTTTTTTTGGGGGGGGGGCTACCACTTCATTTCTTTATTTTAATCACATTTTGTTTATCGAGTGACAAGTTATAACTTTAACTTCTTCTCTATGTCTGCATGGGTAGACCACCATCAGTCATAATTTCTACAATGATTTACATAGGGTTGTGATTATCCCATTATCTGTGCTCTCAGCTGCTCCAACAATCAACTCTATTATTTTTTAAATGATTTGGTTTTATAATACTCCTGATTTAAGGTGGAAATAAATTCCATGACATGCACATAAATTTAAAACAAAATGAAACTACCCTTTCAAATAGATTGGTTAGGCATCTATAACTACTTGTTCCTAAAAAGAAATCCCATTGCATAATGTCAGTCTATTTTTCCTGCTGGTTTTTAAAGTCAAAACTGTTTTCTAACTGAATTGTTTCAACAGCTTGTGCAATAACAGGAGGACTAGAATGAAACCTCTCTTCTGACCTTTTCTCTGTAACTCTCAACTCATTGATTCTATTGCATTAAATGCTGTCAGCTTTGTACCTCTGAAAAGAACAATGTCAGTGGCCTGAGTGTCAGGTCCTGAGAGCAGACAACTGTCATTTCAAGTTGTCCAATCGTTTGCCCATGATTAAAAAATGAATATTTCAGATTGCTGGGTGACAATCCCATTAGAGTGATAGCCCATGATATCAATTACCACTTCAGTTTCAATTTTGCTGGCTGGCCACAGGGTACTATTTCTTAGCTCTACTTGTGATGGGTTGGATCTGTGAAGCATGACATTCTTAAATTGCTGCCTATTATCCCAGTGTCATTACTTGTATTGCCTTCAGAATTCTTTGAATCACAAGTAGCTGCTGAGGTCAGGCTTTGCAACCAAAAGAAATGGACAAGTTAGCAAATTCTTTATACAAAGCAAAAGTTATTTATCTGGCGTATGACTCAGAAATTTAAAGTTTCTATTATCCTGACAGTATGTCAGTATTGTGCCAGTTTATTGATTTAATAATGTAAGAGGTTTCTTCAGGCTAGCAGAGATGCTAAACATTTACTATGTATTTATTTCAAAGCTTCTTATTGTTAGCACTTTACTCAACACAAGTAAAAACATTCACTAAACTCATAAATTAAACAATTTATAGCATTCAGTTATATACATGACCCTGCTCTGTACAATAAAGTACGTTTTGCTTCAATATGTAGGAAAACCAAAAATCAGAATTTTGCAAGTAATGAAACATCCAGCACAGTGGATTGAAAACAAGTGTGAGAGTCAAAAACTCTAAGGGTATGTCTACACTACAACGTTAATTCGAACTAACTTAGTTCGAATTAGTTAATTCGAACTAAGCTAATTCGAACTAAGGGATCCAGACTAAAAAACTAGTTCGAATTAGCATTTTGCTAATTCGAACTAGCATGTCCACATTAAGTGGACCCTGAACCAGGGTTAAGGATGGCCGGAAGCAGTGCCGGCAGGGCATCAGAGGAGGACTTAGAGCGTGGAGATGCTGTCTCAGGCTAGCCCAGGGCTGCGCTTAAAGGGACCCGACCCCCACCCCGGACAGACAGTTCTCAGGGGTGCCCTGCTTGCAAAGCAGTCCTGGCTTGGAGTGCCCGGAGTGCCCACACTGGGCACATCACAGCACTCGGCCATCAGACCGGCTGCACTTGCCGCAGGCTGCCATCTGGGGAGAGGGAGCAATTGGGGAGCTGCAGGAGAGCTTCCACCCCCAGAAGCCCGCAGAGCCAGCCCAGTCCTCCCCATCGGGGGCTCGTACCCCATTCCTCCCTCACCTCCTTCCACTTACCCTTCCCTAGCCCCCCTTCCTGATGTA